TCGGAAAGTCCCACTAATATTGTCTCATACTCCCCCCGTCCCTGAAAATACTTCCAACTTTCTCTTTTCGTCCGTTCCAAAAAGAATTTCGCTTTCCCTTTTTAGCAAAGAATTTGTGGTTTACAACATTTCTCTCTCCTCTGCACAACTCTCCACCACACAATTCTTACTTTCATAATCCGCTTGCCACTTTATTTTGGAAGTAAATTCAGGGACGGAGGTAGTATCAAATTTGGTAAAGTTTGTGTGACTCTAAATCATTCTTACTTTATCAATTTAATATCAACCACACAAACTCATTTTTCTTAATAACCATGACACATTCTCATGTCCCAATCCTAGTGGAACGGAGGTAGTACATCTGAATTAATATTAGACAAATAATTCCCAATTTCTATTTTTTTCTCTCATTTTCATATTTAAAATAAGATACAATAGTTATCACAATCAGTTAGAACTAATTCAAAAGTAAATTGTGAAATTCAATATTTCGAAAATTTAACTAACATTAGCATAATTTTAAAAAGTTAGTGTAATAATCTAAATCTTAAAAATTGTTTACAGCAAATACTTTGTCAACTTTGGCTTTCAATAGTGCAAATTTTAGTGGTGATCTTACAGTTTTAGTGTTATATAACATGGTCAGCAAAATATTTTCACAATTAATAAATCAGGATAGGATTCTTCAAAAAAAAAATCAGGATAGGAAAAAACTTGAACACCTTATAGAAATAAATGTGCTCTTTGTCCTTCTACTATCTTCTTATGCTATTATTGCTATGATTTACTACCCACTGATAGTAATAAGATTTTGCAAAGGCTCCCACCTACGGTGGGGTAGGGGGAGTCAAATGTACGCAGTCTTACCCCTGTACGAAAGCACAGAGAGACTTTTTTCGGATGACCAATAGTGAAAAACGCGCCCAAATTTGCATGAACTAACTGTTGCTTCATAACAAAGAAACGCAGACAGTTTAGTGAGCCATTTTGCTTTATTCCATCATATTCTCAAACCAAAAAATAATGAATCTTTGGCTCCATTGCAAATGATGGATTAGTAATAAGATTTAAAAAAAAATACTTCATATCAATTCTTTTGTTTTCCATGGTAAAAAGTAAAAAAAGACACCTATGTTTATTTGTTCCTTATCTTAGCTTCAACTCTTCAAGTACTCCTCAAAATTCTTGAAACTTCAATTATTTTGTGTTATCAAAAATGTAGATGATATGGAGTACACATTGCAGTGTTGCGTGACTACTTTCCCAAATACTCTCCAGTCTTCAAGCAGTACTCCTCATGCTAACGCTTTTATGTTGAAGATATAGAACATGACATATTACAAAGGCTTTCCTCAAAGAAAGTAATTGTTGAAAAAACATGTTTGTTGCTCAAGTAAACAGCTCAAATGGGTCTTCTGGGGATATTCTATATACAAAAGAAATGATTCAATGTGGAACGATTCACATCCAAATCTGATTGGGTCTCAAAACCCTTGGCCCCTACAAGTTCAACTGGTGTTCGATGTTGAACGATTCACTTCCAAATATGAATGATAGGGCCGGTCCTGACCATTTCTGAGTCTATGGGCGGTACACTATTCTCGACCTATGACCGTATACTTATTTGAAATAAGAATTATAATAAAAATATCCAATGAAGTTCATAAAATAAATTAAAAATTACTTTATTATTATTATTATTTAAGTTACATATTTGGGCAAAAGTAAAAACACAAGTATCGGATAAAAAGAAAAAACATCAGTGAAAAACATTTCTCGTAGAACAATATGAAGCAAATAATCAATAATCGCTTCATAGGCGACCTTCTTTCTATTAATACATGACAAATAATAAAATTGCCACATATAACAACACTAAACTTTTTTTGAAAGGAAATATGAAAAAAATATCGCTACATGTAGAATTCATAAGTTGAGAATGATTTATTGACCGTTGATGGGAGTCTAAAGTTTGAAATCTCGAAAGAATGAAGGTTTTCAAAGAGACAAAATGTATGGCCGCCAAGAACACTCGCGCAAGAAGACCGCCAATTTGACGTCCTCTAAACTACTATTAGGAACTCAGATATAGTTTATTGAAATTTGGAAACAAATAAATAATTGGGATGAGATTTGAGAGAGATGGGCTCTAAAATAATTATATAAATTTGTTATGTTATAATTAAATGAATAAAAAGCCTTAAAGGCTAAAGGGATGTAAAGACTACAACCGATCCTACTTAAAATTAATATATATATTCTTTTTTTGATGGAACAACAATTGTATTGCTTTTAAAAACTACAATTGATCCTACTTAATATTAATGTATATATTCTTTTTTTAAACTTGGCTCTGTTTATAACTTTTTATTTACATTTTAAATTTTCAAATTGTCAACAAAATTAAATATTAAGAATTACCTGACCTTAAGAATTAAAAAAAGAAGCCTACTAACACTATACATAAAGAAAAAAATTTGGGCCTGTTTTTTTCTTCTATTTTTTCCCTGGCCTAGGGTGGTCGTCCCTTCCCGAGAACCGGCCCTGATGAATGAGGGAGTGTTTGCGACTGCTTCTGCTTAAAAAAAAGCACTTTTGGAGAAGTAATGAAAAAGTGATTGGTAGTAAAAGTTGATAATGTTTGAGAAAAAAGTGATTTTGAAAAGTAAAAGTTGGTAGTGTTTGGTAAAATAAGTGCTTTTTGTGTAATAGAAAAGGGAAAAGCACTTTTCACACGCAAGCCGAGAAAAAGTAAAAATTGGTAGTGTTTGGTAAATAAGTGCTTTTTAAAGCCAAAAGCTGAGAAGTGCTTTTTTTTAAGCAGTTGCAAACACTCCCTGAATATGTAATGCATAACTATGCCAGTTTTATTGTGTCACCCCGTTCTTACAAATGTATATCATATGTGCATTGCAGTTTATACGGAAAAATGTATAGTTGATTTAACGTTTGTGATATGTGGCCACGAAGAAATCTACAAAAGTTGGAAAATAATAATGGTGACAACTCCGGTACTCATTTGAAAAATGGGGTATCATACCTACCATGCATTTGATTGGTCCAAATCATTAAATCCCTTTTAATTTAGATTTAAATAATTCAAATGAATGATTCTAATTGGTCTATGTGGATAAAGGTACGGTATCTTATGGGTACCATAAAATCTACCAATAATAATCTACGAGGTCTTCAATAACTTTTAGTATGTGAACTTTTTAAATATCTAATATTAATCTTTGATTTTTGCATTATTCACTAGTTATACCTTGACTACATTTTATTTATTATTGTATTAATAATTTATTTTTTGAAAAAAAAAATTGTTAAATTTGTCCTATTGTAAATTTTCAAAATTTGAGAGAGTTAAATATATTAATGGTCAAAGTTGTGCATCGACAAACGTCAAAAGTTGACTATTGCATATATTTAAGAACAGAGGTAGTATGAGCCCGTTTGGTGGCACTATGTTTTAGCTTATCAGACTTATCAGTAACTTTTTCACCAAACATGTAACTTTTGATTTCATGCGCTGAATTGTGTAATAATATGAAAATGTAAACTAATAATCCAACCTTTTAGCGGTCTTCTTTTAATAGTCCCACCTTTTCGTTATTCATAAATAATCCAACTTTTGCACCTCATCTTCATTCATTGGTCCTTGACCGGTTGATGACATGCTATTCCGAGTTATTTTCTTATATTTGTAAAATATTATCTTTGTGAAAGGTAGAATTTATGGTATAATAGTTTGCAAAGATAAGAAAATAACTCGGAATAGCAGGTCATCTACCGGTCAGGGACCAATGAATGAAGATGAGGTGCAAATGTTGGATTATTCATGAATAACGCAAAGGTCGGACTATTAAAAGACCGCTAAAATGTTGGATTATTAGTTTCCGTTTTCCCTTATTTTTTTGGCTATATTGGCTGAAGTTACTGTAGATGATCATTTTAGCTATTTTTATATAATTTTTCCTTTATTTTTTGAATAAAAAATATTTTAGATATAATTGTTTTCAAAAAACAGCAGAATCAAACAATGCAGTCACTTCAGCCAGAACTTCATAAACTTCAGCAGAATCAACCGATCCGGCCAATTTCAGTGCTATCAAATAGGCTCTATATTTTAGTTCTATATATCAATTCATAAAAGCGTTTACAGATTTACTTTTCTAATATGTACATCACCAAAAAATCTATAAATGTTATTCTATGCAACAGAAAGGTGAACTACTAGTATGTATAAAAAGAAGATCAATACTTGTGCATAAAAAAAGTAATTATAGATAATGTTTTTAAAAATCCTTAATAGGCCTTTGAAGAAAAATCCCTTAATAGGAGTTGAGCAGAATAAATTCTCTCAAATAAGAGTACATTGCTTTGTTCCCAAAATAGGACTTATGCACTCCTATTCTTTGTTCCCAAAATAGGACTTATGCACTCATATTCTTGTTACTTCACTCATGCACTCCTATTTAGGTAATTTATCTTTTTATTCCTTTTTTTTTATCATCAAAACAGGCCTCTATTCATAAAAATGTTCACTAAGTGACTAAACTAACAAGTATCACAATCGCTTTTGAAAATGCCAATGAAATACATTAGCGGCTAAAGGGTCAAATAGGCCCTCGAACTAACTTAAAAAATGCAAATCATCCCTTATATTGGAGGCTCTGTCCGGCCGTCGCCATTTGGGGCGATTCCCGGTGTAATTTTTTGATGAATTTTTTTGAACATCTTCTTCATTAAGTCTTGTTTACCCATACCAAATTTAAGATAAAAATTCAACTGAGAAGATAGTCAAATGATTTTTCTGAAATGTACTGCGTTGTTTAACTACACAGTTATCTTCATAAATTCATTTGACTGCATTCTCGATTGAATTTTTAGCTGAAATTTGGTATGCATAAACTAGACTTAATGAAGAACCATAAATAAAAATTAATCTTTTCTTGAAGTAGATGGATTACAAGAAATAGAAACGGACATTCCTCAGGACAGTAACAATGAGTGAGGATTTTTCTGATTCAATTTTTAAAGCTGCACAGATGAAAATAAGCCTGTAATCCGCCCTTGCTTCAGCGTATGGCCATCACTTTTTTTATTCAACAGGAAAATTAAATATAAATACTACAAAACAAAACACATAGTATTCAAAATCATTTTAAGAAAATGGTATCAAAGGTGGCAGGTAACATTCGAAATGAGGTAAACAACAGAAAAGAAAAACCAAGCACATAAACCTATGCTTCTAGATTCATTTAAGAAATGTTCATTCCTCATCTTATTCGCAGTTGCCTTCTGGTTCTTTCTGTTCTCTCTTCCTGGACAACCACCACCAAAGGGACTAGACAGTGAGAAACCAATGTGTTTCTATGAGTCCACCCTGACCATAAAGGATGGAACATTGACCACCTGCCTTCCAACTCGGATGTGCTTCTGCCTAATGACAACTCTTGTATGATGGATTGACTTGGCCATGGCAGCCTTGAAAACCAAAGTCTGTAGACGGTGCTCAAGGAAATTCTCAACAGTGAGGGAAAGCACATAATGAAGCTTGTTTTGGCTCTCATCCAACAAACCATACTGATTCATCCTCTTCAGAAGTGCATCACCCTGAAAAATACGCTTTGGGTCCTCATCAAGGGTAAGAAACTTCCGTGCATTATTCCTGATACTGCTCAATTTTCAAAGCATACTGGACTCTCCACAGCTCCCGCTTGCACCTGAGACCATACTCACCCACAAGCTTCAACTCAGAATCCAAACGCTCCTTCTCATATGGGTGACATGGCTTTTTGAATGTCTTTCCATGGTTCCGGCAGTAGGAAACGTGATAAGAGGGAATGGTTGTGTAAAGAGGGAATCAAACCACTCTTGTACTGCCTTTAATTTTATTGATTATAAAATCTCCAAAACCAGCACCTATATCCACTATTCTTGAGTCCGGCTTTATCTCTACCTTACTAATTTCTTTTAATAAATCTCCCAAACCTAGAGGATCCTCCTCACAAATCTGACCTATGATTCCATCCCACGTATCAATATGCAGAGTGTTTCGGTGTTTCAACACCACCTCCACCGCCTCGCATGCTTCTTCAATCTTACCAAGGCTAACAAATCCCATTACCAATGTATGCACCACCGAAAAGTGCAGAAGAAATCCTTTTGAAACCATCTCCTCTACATAAACTTTAGCCTCATCGTACATTCCTTGATTGCATAACCCTTGAACCAAGATTCTATAAGACACCAAATTGGGTAGGCATCCATTTGCAGCCATTTGCTCGAGTACCTTGCAAGCATCAAGGGCACGATCTTGTCGACAGAAACCCAAAATGACAGTGTTATAATGAACCAGGTCGGGGTTGCAGCCTCTCACCTTCATTCTGCAGAGTAACTTGAAAGCCTCTCTGAGCTGTTTCTTTCGACACAAACTGTTCAACAAGGTGGTGTAAATAAAAGCATCGGGACTGAACCCTTTGTTGAGCATATCCTCCAGCAAAGCAACGGCTCTGTTCACTTGGCTCTTCCTGCACAACCCTTGGATCAGGATTCGGTATGACTCAACGTCAGGCAAAACGTCCCTCGTGAGCATTTTACCGAACAGTGAGCAGGCAATGCTTAAATCGTCATTGAAGCAGAAGGCTCTCATGAGGATGTTATAAGATGTCGTGTTGGGCAAGACCCCATACTGGTGAGCAGATTTAAAGAGGTCAAATGCGGGACGAATATAACAAGGGTGGGCAACGAGGATGTGGAGGATTTGGTTTAGGTGTTGCGGACGAGGTTTCAAGTTGAACTCCAAGATCGTGTAAAAGGTTTTGAGGGCGATTTCAGGAAGTCCGGCAGCATTTCGAGAAGGGCCGAGTTTGAAGATGAGGGAGTGGAATGAAGCATAAGAGTGGTGGAAGTCATCAGGGTGGCGTGATGCCAATTCACATATTTCTTTGGCAAGCAGCAGGGGGTCCGACTGTGATGCAATCAGTTTATGGATTCGAGCCACTGGCCCGACGGAGAGCTTCTCTTGACGATTAGGGGAGGAGGAGGAGGTTGAAGAGGACAGGGCGGCGCGTGGTGCTGATCTAGTAAGACTGGCATAGCGTAAGAGACGAACTGGGTGCATCTCACCTCCGCTTCCTTCCCTTCTCCCAATTCATTTATTATAATCAAAGATCGGGAACAACCTGCCATGACAGAGTAAATTTGAATTGTTAAGCTCATTAATGAAATATACTCCGTAAAATACGTAGTAAATAGAGATTAAAAAAAGGTGAAATAGTTTAAGTATGAGCTTTTTCTCATAAGAGTGTACTTGTAAACTTATTTCCCAAACAAGAATATTTTTGCCTATCATTTGAAATCTTTATATATAAAGATAGTATGGTTGGAAACCAAATATTTTATTCTCCCTGCAATAAAATGACATTATTGAAGTATTTAATTAATTCTTATACTTAATCAAAAACAATTAAACTTCACATAAAGAATAATCAATTTAAATAATAATACCAACATTAATTCCATATGTGAAATACTTCAAGGTTATCAACTCTAAAGTAGTTTATAGATATTGATATTTTAAAATTTTCTAACATCATATTTTTGGATGGACTTTTGATAATTAGGGTATAAAAGTGACTTTAATAACAACATATAAGAGATGAATAAGAAAAATGGTTATGGTAACAGTAAGGAAGCGTTTTTAGGTAATAATAATAATCTATCTCTATACAAAAGAAGGTGGATAATCTAGCCGGTTTCCCACCCAACAAGAAGATAAAGTGGCATCCCACAACAATCGTATAAGTTCCAATGGACAGATAAAGCGGCATCGCACAACAAATACCGCTGATCTCACGAGTTAACAATAGATATGGACAGATTAAAGTGAAAAACTGACGATTCGATGGACAAAAAACAAGGTTTGAAAGAAATCAGACGAAACCAACGGAGATCAACACTCAACAGAACGATAGCATGAAAGATCATCAGATGAACCAATGTTCTTCTATATGTGTTGTACGGCAAGTGAAGTACAACACATCTACTGAGAAAATGTGAACCGTGACTAATAAAAATTTAATTAATTTAACAATAATGAAGAGGTAGAGAACTAGGGAAGTGGAGATAATTGTCAAAAAAATGCATTTACTGAGCTTACACAGATAACCAACTAATAAGTTCATTCCTGAACTAAATAAAACTCTACTAATTTAAAGTAGCAATTGTTTACTTTCTGTTTTATAGTCCGTGAACTTTACCTTATTATACCATTCCATATGAGTACAATAAAATTTAATTAATGTAGTAATAAGATTTGACAGAATAATAAGATTTAGCGATGAAGGCTAAAGCAAGAGGCCATTAAATATTAGTGCTATCGTTTATTTTACACTTTAGTTCAATGAAAATGATATCTATGTTTCTACTTATCTACTACAATCAGAGCCTAGAGGGAGAGATATTACAAATTGAATAACTAGCAGTTTATTTGTTATTTGTATCACAGGTTTAATACTTATGAAACAAAATTTTCTTGGCAAAAATAATACCAAAATCCCATAAAACCATCAAACAAACAAACATTATGCCTTCTGCAATAATCATACGCGAAAACAGATTCGATTAAAGTGAGAAAAACGAGCCTTGACATAAAAAGTATGGTGGAAATATAACACATACCTTCAAAACTAGCGGGCATGAGTCGTGCGGCTGTGTTACAGCGTGAGTCCGGTGGCTGATAGAGACCTCCAAATATTCAGAGATTTCAGAAAAGTAATATCAAGAAACAATGGAAATTTTTATTGAAGAAGATGAACACAAACAGCAACCAAGGCCGAAGCCCCCCAAAGATAGAGACGGCTAGTCTCAGATCTTCCACTTCCCGAGTTCCCGTCTAAATCCCCCTTCCCGTCTATTTATACTATGCAATACATCAAGTACCCTTATTACTAATATTCTTATTAATACTTCTATTATTAGTAATATAAGAGGGTTCCTATCAATACTCCCCCCTAAACATCCACCTTGCCCTCAAGGTGGGTTATATGACACAACCACAATCTCCTGCTTCCTCTTCCTCTTCCTTGTTCCTCTTCCTTCCCAATATCTAACTGGTTGATGGACTAGGGACTTCAGTACGAGATCTTTTAAGATCACAGAACTTTCAGCAATAGCAGAGATTTGAAGTGAAGTTTCATTCGGCTCAGTCACTATCCAACAGTCCCTTTCAGCTTCTCCCTCTTTCAATTCTTTGACTACCTCATTTGAGAAGGGAAACCTTAAAGTTTTTAGCATGCAAGTACTGAGATGCATGCTTCCAGCTGCAGTTTTCATAACCAAGGAACAGGAAAGCTTATCTCCCATGTAAAACTTCCAAAGTTGAGTTTCTTGTAGGTAGGCAGATTCTTCACCAGGAAAAGACATGGCCATTTTCAATTCTGGTTCCAATTTCAGCTTTTCTTTGGTTCCAGTATATTGCTCTACAAAATTTCCCACGGACTTCTCCTTTAAGGAATCTGTAATTCTGAGTTTTCCTGTTAATAAGCCAACCCATAAGTTGGTAGGGGAGTCAATGGTACTTGGATCCTTTCCATTCAGATTCCAAAGAACAAAGAAAACAATTGGGAAATAGTCTTGATGATCCCTTGAATTATAATGAGCAGAAAGTCCCCCTACAATCTTGGGTTTCAAAACTGCTAGAAACATAGTGAAAGAGCGCTTCTCAGCAATCAATTTCTGATTAGGCACTGCTGATTCAGTCCCTTTATCGACAATAGCAAGTCTTTCTCTGCTCACACCCTCCATCCAATTTAGAGGACCTCCATGTGAAATCATTACTCCAATTTGAATGATGTTATATGATTCCCAAGAAAAAGGATGAACCTCATTCACAAGAACCACTGGTTTTGCAATACCCAAGTGAGTTAATGGATTTATCAAACCCATATTTTCTGAGGAATAATCAGCCAAAACCCAGATTGGTAAGACCCCTCTGTTTCTTTCCAGATCAGTGTTATTGAAATTCTTGAGATGTCTTGATCACTGCCACTTAACACAGAGCAGTATCCTTTAACGTAGTATGCTTTCTCATCATGCCACCCTCCTGAGTTATGAGATGTATAATTCCCTTTACGAAAACATGACCAAGAGCTCAAGCCATAAGAAGAAACAATTGGATTCAGTCTCAAGACATCATGAGTGAAAAATTTTATCAAGTCGTCTTCAAAAAGTGTAGCTGACCCCAGTAGGTCCTGATAGATGATCACTGAATACTAATTCATGTTCTCAACACCAGATTCACCAGATTCTAACACCCAGATGCTTGAATGAACTTCAAGAACACCCTTTCTCCCAATGATCAACATATCTAAAGAACTAAAATCATTCAATCCTTGATGCTGATGCAGGAAGATGGAAAAATCCAGATAAGAGTTGACAAAGTCCCTGTAAATGCCACTTATGAGTACAATGGACCTAGCAGATGGGCTTCTTACCACAGAATAAGAATTTGCCACAACAGAATCATCAAACCGATAGTCCAATCCTATACCTCCTTCTTGAAGCAATATAGAAATGGATGGCATTATCCTTACATGTTCACCACTTATCAAGTCCATATGTAACGTAGCAGGGTTGATTTCATGGTCAGACACCAGGAATTTGTTAGTGTAACCCTTCCAATTTACAGTAATTCCTATTCCCAATCTATCTTGAATGTTCTTAATAGAGGTAACACAATCAACTAGGAAACCATCGATCTTGTTCAACCCTTTCATTGTAACAACCAATCCAAGTTCCGAAACGAATTCAATCAAGGGTTTCAAATTCAGAACCTTAGCATAGTTCATATAATCATAAGTAAGTATATCTGGTTTAAGTATTTCTGAACCTCTCTTACGTTGATTAACCTCCTCTCCAGGTTATGTTTTCTTGACTGAAGGTATAAGGGAGGATGAGATGTGAAATCCTGCGATTGAATAAACCTGCGAACTAGGGACTTCTGCTCGAGTCGAAGCCAGAAGACCGAAAGGAGTATCTTGCGACTGAGACGGATCTTTGCTTTTCGAATTCACGCAGCGACGTACCGTCCTCGATCTTCCTCGCCGGCGACTTTGTTTGCTCTTCGTACACTTCTCCTTCTCCAGGCTTGAGCATTTCTCTTTCTCTGGTTTAGAACTCTTCTCTTTCTCCTTCTCCAGTTTTCCGCGCTCCCTCTTGTCCGCGAGTTTTCCCAATTTTCCGTGCGACTCCTTTCTGCGACTCCCTCTGCGACTTCCGCGACTCCTACGATTCCTTCTGTGACTTGGCAAGCGATTGCGACGAACTCTGTTTGTCAAATAGACGATGATGTCGGGTGTTGCTCGATCAATCTCCAGGCTCCTTGCGAAGCTTTTGTTCTTGATGCGAAGGTAAATACTTGGAATTACTTTCTGATCCCTTTGTTATAACGGAATCTCTTGTGTGTCTATGATGCGAAGAATGATGCGATGTATCTGAAGTGTGCGACCTGTTCTTCGAACGACCGGAATTTCTGTTCTGAAGATCCACGATGCCAGCCTGCATTGCTGTCATCATCGTTAGCAAATCATCATACTTCATATTTGATTTCCTCATCAGTCGGTCTATATTATTGCAACTATCTTCCATTTTCGGTGTCAAAAATTCCTTCATGATTCAGATTCTCGGGTCTCCAGGAATAACGTGCTCTGATACCAATGATAGAGACCTCCAATTATTCAAAGATTTCAGAAAAGTAATATCAAGAAACAATGGAAATTTTTATTGAAGAAGATGAACACAAACAGCAACCAAGGCCGAAGCCCCCCAAAGATAGAAACGACTAGTCTCAGATCTACCCAGTCCCAGACAAAATGTCCAAAAGCCTCCTTTCTAAATCCCCCTTCCCGTCTATTTATACTATGCAGTACCTCAAGTACCCTTATTACTAATATTCTTATTAATACTTCTATTATTAGTCTAATATAAGAGGGTTCCTATCAGTGGTTGCGTGACAGCGCAAGTCCGGTGGCTGCGTGACAGCGTGGTCAGGGGTTTCTGTAACTACAAATATTTTGATATTAGAGGGGAAATTTGGACCATGATTTTAATTAGTATAATATTATTGAAAAAATAAATTTTATACTTTTATGAAACTAGTTTCAACCAATAACATTTTCATATCATTTTTTTATAATAAATAATTTCCAATAAAAATATATAGTTGGTCAAAGTTTTAAAGATGACTAAATACTTTGGGTCGGAGGTAATAAATAAGAACATCTACTTTGAAATGAGTAAATGTGATCTTTATCTTTATATTTTTATACCTAAAAGCAGTACATGAGTGAGAAAGCTTTTCTCGCCCATAGTATCACCTAATTATTAGAACAGCTGGGCTGATAGGTAATTTTGCCTCCTGCCCAAAATCACACACCTTAGACCAGAGAAGAGATTTGAATCCTTCTGTAGCCGAAACCAACCCAAAAAACACAAGCTTTAGCGACACCAGCCCACGGCCCAACCACGGATTGATGACGAATTTGTTAAGTGAAAAAAAACCGTTATACCCATTACAGTTAATATAGAAGGACCTCATTACCAATTTTCTCATGTTCCTTTAAGCCCTTTAAGAGCAGTAGCTCACTAGCCCTTTTTCGTTTTGGTGATATTGTCGCTTCAATTTTATTTGGTGATATTCCTAATATGTATTTTTTTAATAGTTCTTTTATACTTTTTGGAAGGCTGCAACTTCTTTACTCTTGGTCAAAGTTATTTTCTCCTCTCAAAGTGGAGGGCCACAGATTCGGGTCTCATTACAATCAAGGATGTTGAGACTATCATTTAACATATACTATAATAGGTTAGAAGAGTTTTCCAAAAATGAAAAAAGTGGTTTCTTATTATACATTGTAATTGTTCTTCTCAAATTTGTGAAAATCAAACCTTAAAGTCTAACCAATTCATGAGTCTCTATGTTGAGTTTCAAGTCTGATTATTAAACAGTTCTGGGAGTCCATATCATTTATTTGAAATAATTCAAAGGTTTCTTAATGTTCTTAAACTTTACGGTGATGGTGTACAATTCATATGTAAATTTTTAAACCTTCTATGTAATCAGACTAATGCTCTTAATTTATGTTCTGGATCCAGAGATGGATGGGCTAAATTTGTTACAACTAGATGACTAATATAATTAACTCTTGAACGGGCAAATGTTGGTCTTAAATTTTATTTCAAATGGCTTGTGTTTATTTATCAATTATCACTGCTGGAATTGAACCAAAATATTAGGTAAAAGAATGTAAAAAAAATATTCTTTTAGTTAAATAAAGAATTCTATGTTCTAAACCGTAATTGTCTTTCTAGGATTGAGGATCTTTTAGTAATAGATGGTACTAATGGCATGTATTATATACTTCTTTGAGTTTCAACCTAAATTCCTAAAAGGTTTCAATGAATCCAGAAACTGAAGCAGTCTAATTGAGATGCTTTTGTTCAACCTTAATTGTCTTTCTAGGAGTGAGGATTTTTAATTATCTTCCTAGAAAGGAAAGTAATAGTCTAATAGATGCTGCTATTGGCATGAACTAACAAAAGCACCAATAATAGTTCACCTGAAAATCTGAAATAGAAGCAATAGTTAATTGTTTAGCCTGCCAAGGTAAAAAAAAATAGAAGTAATAGTATGTTCAACCTTAGTTTTCCTCCTAGGACCAAGGATCTTTAATTAGCAGTGCTTCTGTAATTCCAAAGATTAGGCTTATGCGTTATTTCAATGCAATCTTAGTGTGAGAATTTTTTTTATCCCAGATTCATTCATAGTTCTTAAACCGTCTATGATTCAAAGGTTTCTTAATGTTCTTAGTCTTTACACAGATGGTGTGGGGTTCATATGTAAACTTTTAAACCTTCTATGTAACCATATCTAATGCTATAATTCAACAATTGAATTTTTATCAATCTAAAAACTGCTACATTAAAAAGTAAAACATTAGATTTTCCCTACCAGGTAAAATAAATAGTACTCTTATTCATTAATAATTACATAAAATATAAGGCATTTTCCTCAATAAATCATTCGTATTGATATAAATTAATTCACCACAAAAGCATACTATCGGAATATGAATACTAAATCAGTTTCACAATACATCCAATTCAATAGTGGTCTGATTCCTGTCTTATGGATCCATGCCAACTGACTACTGTCTATAGGCAAAGAGCCGGCTCACTTATTTTTACTTTTTAGTATATCAATTCAGAAAAACTCCATATTTCTTTATCATATTACTCCCATTACTCAGCAAGTGGGCAACTGGGCATATCAATAATCAATACTCCCAGTCTTCCATTACTCCGTATATCTTTATCACATTTCTTCCGAAAGTCAAAACTCAAAATACACATACAATTCACAACTGATACTTACAGAAAACCAAATCAGAAAAACTCATTACAAAAGCATAAAAACAATACCAACCTGCGCAGCGGTACTGCGGCAGCCGACCGTGTGAAGCAAGGAAGGCTGGAGCCTGGAGTTCTGGCACTCTGGCTGTCTGGATCGTGGCTGTGGCCTGGAGGTCTTGACTCTGGTCTTTGGAGGATGAAAAGGACAATCGACTATTTGGGATTCATGAATGGATGACTCAAGGTGGACATTTTAATTTTTTTCTTGAAAAGTCTCAAAAGGATTCACGTGAACACCATTGAACGCTACACGATTCTGCCCCTATGCATCATGTAAAATTGTACCCCAATTTATACTCACCCCTAATTGCATGCTAAGTAGTTAACTGGCTACTCACGGGGGTGGACCGTAAGACCATTTGTAGTGGTTTGGAAGCTAAAAAGTTAAAAATGGACTCCGTCCATATGAAAACAGTGTTTAGACTCCTATTCCTTGCATCCCAGCACCGTCAATAAAATACATTCAGCATATTTTTTCACATATCAATTTAACAAAACATTAGTTAAATCATCATAAGTAATATTTTCAATTTAATTTTTCCCTAAATAATTATGAAATAAAAATACATATTTCGATGTAAAAATAAATAAATTTCCTTAATTTTTTTTTACGTTTTTTGGTTAACAAAAAATGAATTTAGTCCAAGTAAAGTTTTATTATGGAATATTCAGTTATGTGTAGAGCAGTAGGGCTCCATGAATTAAAAATTTGTGTCTTGTGTTTTTTCAGGCTCAAGAAAATTCCAATAGTTAAAACATAAGATTTTTTTTCATTTTATATATTACATGTTGGTGTCATATGAAAGATAACAAAAATTCGTAAATTTTGATATATCTTTTGAAAATTTTGGAGAACAAATAAAAAAGTTATAAGAGTTTTAAAAAATTTGGGATTAGAATGATGCAGGGATGACATCATCCTCACATCCATACAATGCATTCTTGGTCATTCCCTTCCCTATTTCTTTCCTTTTTCTTTTTTCCACTCCTACCAACCCAGCTTCTATTTCTAACACCCTCCATCCCCTCTTCCATTTTTAATACCCTATTTAGCCTACCACTACATGAAATTAGGAGTCCAAAAGTTCCATCTTTAACATTTTGGACTCCTAATACTACACCACTCCAAATGGCCTAATAGAGACTCAGGGGCAGTGGCCCCTCCAACAATTTTTTTTTAGTGTATATATATACCAAAAAAATAATTTTCGTCCTCCCAAAAAATATTTTTTTTAAGTTACCGCCCTCCCAAGATAAACTTTCTAGGTCCGCCCCTGGCTACTCGGTAACACTCGGTCAAGGGCCGAGTTAGGGGTGGGATTTTGGAACCGGGAACCGTAGAACCGATTGGAACCGAACCGTTAACAACATCTAGGAACCGAACCGTTAACAATTAATGCCTCATTTGTAGGAACCGAACCGAAGCGGGTTATAACGGTTCGGTTCCCGGTTCCTATAAAAAATATGTGCATCGAACCGTTAAGGAACCGTTATTAAAAAAATATATATTAGTAGTAGTAGTAACAACAACAACAACAATAATAATAATATAATAGCAATAATAACCACCGCCACAACAACAATAATAATAAAACAATATAAGATATTTAACTAACAATTCTAATTTAATCAACGGAAAAGAAGTAATAAATATTGTACATGAGGTTGATATAATACATTAAACTCCTTTCTACAAATCAAGTTTTGTTCCATCACATAAATTTTATAAATATAAAATAACCCAAATAACTTGTACGGAGTAGTTGATTGCACATATTTTACTTTACTATTTTCATGATATTTCTAATTATTAGATTTATTATGAATCAATAAAATGTAATAATGTTTTTTTTATATCTATACATGCAAACTTTATGTCTTTTTTTTATGTTTTGAAAGACTTGAAGTAGGCGTCCTATTCTTGCTACTATGATGACGAGTAACCTTCATCGCTCCGACACTACAACGATTTTTAACGTTTCATTTATTACATGAAAATTTAAATCACTTTTATTCTATTAAGTGTTCAAAGTAAATTAGTTAAGTTTGAGCTTTGATGTTTGAAGTGATTAGAGCTTCAAATAAAATTTTAATACTCGTGTTTTGAATTTTCGACGTGTTTAAAATTATGTGTTAATTCTTAGACGAGAAAAAATTATTCTAGGAACCGGTAAAAGGAAGAACCGAACCGTTTACTACCGGTTCGGTTCCATAACGGTTCTTGATTTTTTTATATAGGAACCGAACCGATTTCATTAGTTAAAACTTTTATAACGGTTCCACTTATTTTGAGTAAGAACCGAACCGGTCCCAGCCCTAGGCCGAGTAGCGAGTAGGACCGGTTACTCGGGATTGCTCGGTGATTACTCGGTCATGTATTAATTAAATATAATAATATATGTGCCTGAGATTATAGAAATATAATAGTCTTAAAATAATCTTTAAATTGTCTTAATATGCATAGAAGTGAATAGAAAGATAGAAATCCGATTATCCTAATGAGGGAGTAGCAAAAGTCATAAAACAAAAGTCATAAAGCAGTCAATCATATACTATACTTCTTAAATTGCACGTGGGACCCACATCGGGAGCGTGGACCACCCAACATTCCCGAGATTAGTTTGTACCATATACTATACTTCTTAGTTTGTTATTACAATGACATCTTATTTAATTATTTATTGGGGAAAATAGTTAAAATATCCCGAACTTTGAAGATGTGTGATGTAAGCATCCCAAACTTGCATATGTAACTTAAATACCCCAAACTTTATATAAAAAAATATTTTAGTACGATGGTCATCATGTATTATTTCTTTCAAAAATGTTAATTTTTGGTGATAATTTCATAATTTAAATTTTTTTAGCATTCGTGAAGAGACAAGATAATTAACATTCTAAACTTCCATTTTAAAATAAATAATACTACCTCCGCTCTATAAAAATGCAACATTTTTAATTTGCTATTTGAAATTATGCAATTAACATCATAAATTTACATTTTTGAAAAAAAATCATATATGTCCGGTGGTGCTAAAATAACTTTTCATATAAGTTTGAGGTATTTAGATTATATATGAAAGTTTGGGTGTTTGTCTCACGCTCATTCAATGTTTGAGGTATTTTAATTATTTTTTCCTTATTTATTTAATATTTTCAATTAATTGGCTCATTATCATTTTTTTCTTTATAAAATTGCATTTAAACTATATTGAAGGTACTTCAGGTAGAGTAACTATTTCAATGAAACACAGGTTTATATCACAAATATATGGATAAAAAAACTAGAAAATGTAACCAGTATCAATGAAATTTCTTAGCAATGAAGTGGAATGGGAGTACAATGATGCGAGTAAGAGCCCGTTTGGTAGCACCAAAATCGGCTGTTTTGGCTGATTCTGTTGAAATTTATGATATTCTGGCTGGAGTGGCTGTTTTGGCTGATTCTGCTGATTTAAGAAAAAAATATTTTAAAAATATATTTTATTAATAAATTAAAGAAAAAATTATATGTAAAAATAGCTAAAATGGTCCTCTACAGTAACTTCAGCCAATACAGCCAGAAAAGTAACTCCAACCTTACTTTTTCGGCTTATTACACAATTCAGCGCGCGAAAGTAAAAATTATGTGTTTGATGAAAAAGCTGGCTGATAAGCCGAAAACAGAGTTCTCCAAACGGGCTCTAAATAAATACTCCGTACAAAAAATTGCAAAGACAATCCTCACGAATCACGATTTTTTAGCTTCAGGCCCTAAAATTCCGTTAACAACGGAAGTGGCGATCAGAATTCCAATCAATTCTGCTCCAGCCACCACACCAGCTTGCGCCAGAGCTCCGAAACTCACGGCCGCTTCGATCTCCTTCTCTGCGGCTTGAATGCCCTTTTCCGCCGTCTCAAAACCTTCTTCAACCAGCAGCTCCGCTTCCTCCTCCAGCTTCTCTATCCTTTTCCTGACGCCGAACAGGCCGATTTTTTCCGCTCTCGACGGCAGCTCCGTGCCCTTCAGCGACGTCGTAGCGGTGAGCAGCAGCAGCCACTGCCTCCGGCCGGTGAGAGCCGCGGGAGAAGCTCTAGAACTGCGCGGCTTGCGAGAAGGAGAGCGGACTGGAAGAGTTGGCACGAGAAGTGAGGCTGTGGAAGCCATGAAAATTGGGCGCAATTGAATCAGATTTTCAGATTGGTTGAATGATTGATACACGGGCGTACACGGCGCACCGTTGGCGAGGATAGATGAGTGGATATGTGGTTTTTAAGTCATTTTTTTTTTTGGAAAATGGAAACTAATAATCCAACCTTTTAGTGGTCTTCTTTCAGTAATCCCACTTTTTTATTATTCATGAATAATCCAACCTTTGCACCTCATCTTCATTCACTGGTCCCTGACCGGTTGATGACCTGCTATTCCAAGCTATTTTCTTATCTTTGCAAATCATTATACCATAAATCTCATCTTTCACAAAGATAATATTTTGCAAAGATAAGAAAATAACTTGGAATAGCAGGTCATTAACCGATCAGGGACCAACGAATGAAGATAGGGTGCAAAGGTTGGATTATTCATGAATAATCAAAAGGTGGATTATTGAAAGAAGACCGCTAAAAGGTTGGATTATTAGTTTTCATTTTCCCCTTTTTTTTTAATTTTCTCATTCCTTATTATTTTTTCCCTGTGTAGGAGGACGTACGTCTTTAAATTAGGGGTGGGCGCGGTCCGGTCCGGTCCAATATTTGGCTGAACTTGTATCCGTACCGTTACTATTCAAACGGTTCGGTTCGGTTCGGTCTTAAACCTAATCCCGTTCGGTACGGTTTCATTTTGAAACGGGACGGTATCATGTCATACCAATACCAAACAATGCCACTTTTTTTAAGTGCTTAAAAGGAAATTAAAGTTTATTCATCCTTCAAAAATCGACACAATTTATCAATTTTCATACTCATTTTATCCCAAATTGACATTGTTGAGTTTAATCCAACACGATATAGTAAATATATGTATAAATGTGTATGAACAAGCTCAGTTTTTACGTGGAAACCCGAAAGGGAGAAAACCACGGGACTTTTTAGGCTAATGTCCAAGCCCTCTCTTTCTCATTAGGACTCTCCTCACCATTACATAGTACATTTTGAGCTCCCATTAATGGAGTCTTGTAAGCTAACTAAGAAGGAGGGAGAAGCAGAAGGGATCCATAATATGGAGGGAAACTCCCATATTTATAGAGAATAGGGGAAGGGGATGCTCTCCACCCTAATGGGCCGCATGGGCCGGAGTGGGCCCAAATGGCTAAAGTGGGCCAGATGGGCCGAAATGAGCCTAGCTGCTCGGGCTCCGTACTGAGTAATGTCTTGGGCTCCTGAACAGTAATAGGCCGGGATAATATATCCCAACACAAGTCCCCCACTTTCTTGAGTAGTGAGTGCGCGAATCTGCTCGAGAAAGTAGATTCTTGCCTGTGCTCTACCTCTGTCTAGCTGGAAACTGTGTCTTCGAATAATCATAATATATGAGTGGGTGTCTGCACTCCTGAACGTAATCTGCCGGTGAGGCACCCCCCCTTCCCGACGGGGTCGGGCGAAGGTTGCTCCTCCACGGGCACACTCCCCCTGAATGCATCAGGCGGGAGTAAAGGACTCTGACTCGAGCTTTCCAACGGAGAAGCTTAGAGGTCCATGCATATATATACCGGCGTCGCGGTACTGTCAAAACATGATGCACGTGTGTATGTATGAATGTATGAGGTATGATGCATGAATGCATGAATGCATGTAATGTATGGGTGCAATGTATGAGAGACGGAATGCGAGATGTGATAGAAAGCAGTGGCTCTCATCGATAAACCGGGCATGTCAGCGCCGAGAGGCAGACGTGCTGCATAAGACGGTCGTCGCCATCCTGGAGGGAATGTGCGATCATGACTGTGAAGTGGGCACGATGGTGCTGAGGGACCAATCGTGCTGCATAAGACGTTCGTCGCCACCCAGGAAGGGATGGATGAGTTGAACGTGAGCTGGGTACGATGGCGATGAGGGGCCGATCATACCGCATAAGACGGTCGTCGCCATCCTGGAGGGAATGGGCGAGCCGGACCGTGAATCTGGGCACGATGGCGCAGAGGGGCCAATCGTGATGCATAAGACGTTCGTCGCCACCCTGGAAGGGATGGACGAGCAGAACATGAGCGGGGTACAATGGCGCTGAGGGGCCGATCGTACTGCATAAGACGGTCGTCGCCATCCTGGAGGGAATGGGCAAGCCGAACCGTGAATCTGGACACGATGGCGCTGAAGGGCCAATCGTGATGCATAAGACGTTCGTCGCCAACTTGGAAGGGATGGACGAGCAGAACGTGAGCTGGGTACGATGGCACTGAGGGGCCGATCGTACTGCAGGACTCCATCCGGGAAGGAATGGTGAGCCTGAAATAAATCTGGGCGATGTCCCTCCTATCTGATCTGGGGAGCTGATCCTCGTTCGTCTACCGTATCTGTGGTCCTACGTACGGACCGCTAAGCGGTGTACGCTCGGCACACAACAGACTCCGGTAAAGAACTGGTCCTTCCTGTTTGATCTGGGAGCTGGTCTCCGTTCGTCCACTGTATCGGTAGTTCTACCGAAGAATAAAACTGATAGCTTCCTATTCCTGTGCTCTATTTTTTTATGGAGTCTTTTGGTCTTTGTTATTCCCGAGTCTCGTGAGTTACTGATCTTCTGACTTCGCAGGAGACGTTCGTCATCCCAACTATGGGAAGAAACAGGTTTATCCACGTCGGGATTCCCTTTCTCTGTTCGTCCCCAGTCGTGAGTTACTAGTCTTCTGGCTTCGTAGAAGACGTTCGTCATCCGTCCATCAAGGGGGAGGAACTGGTATACCCTGTCTGGGTTCCCGTTTCTTCGTTCGTCCCTGGCTCGTGATCCTACTAATCTTCTTACTTCGAAGAAGACGTTCGTCATCCATCGATTGCAAGGAGAAACTGGTGTACCCTATCGCGGGTTCCCTTCTTCGTCGTCCCATGCTCGTGGTCCTACTAGCCCTCTGCTCTGGCAGAGGGTTTTCGCCGATCCACGGGTAATGGGAGGAACTGGTTTATCCTGCCGAGGTTCCCTTGGTTCGTCTAGCCCCCCCGCGTTCTGACTGGCCTCCATGTCGGGAGACGTTCGTCATTCGCGAGTAGTGGGAAGATCTGGCATACATCGTCAAGACTCCCTCTCTCATAGGAGTTTGTCTCCCCTTCTCCCCTTTTCTTTTTTCTTTTTTTTTTTTGAGGAAGGAAAATACGTTCGTCGGTTCCAAGAATGACCACAAGTGATGTCACACATAATGGTGGTGGGATACCAAAACGAATAGAATGACGAGGCGATGGAAATGCTGGTCGTCATGCGAAGGCGATGGTCACCCTCCTGGAGGGGAGGGGTGAGCCCGATCGATAACTCAAGAAGGTCGGCATTGGGAGCCGATATACAATGATCATAATGTCGCTGAGCAGTCGGTCCTGATAAGGAGATGACAATAGTGTCCGATCAGGCCGATATATCCGAGCAACAGCTCTCATCCACGCAGCGCGGGGATGAAACCGGTCTTCAAAAGATAAATATGTCGTGCCGAGAGGCCGAACATAACATGATAGTGTCGGCAGTGAGAGGTCGACCTGAAAGAATCAAGCAATGGTCCTCGTCCGCGAGGGGCGGGGACAAGGCCGGTCTTCAAATATGATAAGCACGCCGAGCCGGGAGGCCGGTCGTGATGTAATGATGTAGGCAATGAGAGGCCGACCTGACAGAATCAAGCAACGACCCTTATCCGCGAGGAGTGGGGTGAGGCCGGTCTTCAAATATGATAAGCACGCCGAGCCGGGAAGCTGGTCGTGATGTAATGGTGTCGGCAATGAGGGGCCGACAGAGAGAATCAAGCAACGGTCCTTATCCGCGAGGAGCGGGGGTGAGGCCGGTCTTCAAATATGATAAGCACGTCGAGCCGGGAGGCTGGTCGTGATGTAATGATGTCGGCAATGAGAGGCCGACCTGAAAATCAGGATGGTCTCACGGCCCTCGACCGTGATGGTCTTCTCTAGGCCCTCGGCCTCTGAATGATGGATGATCGTCTCACGGTTTTCCGCCGTGGTAGTCCCCTCTAGACCCTTGGCCTCTAGGTGTTCTTTCCTAGGCCATTGGTCTCTAGGGTGGAGATGCCCGTCTCACGGTTCTCAACCGTGATGGTCTCCTCCAGGCCCTCGGCCTTTTGGGGTGGAGATGCTCGTCTCGCGGCTCTTAGCCGTGATGGTTTCCTCTCGGCCTTCAGCCCCTTGGGGAAAGTATGAACGTCTCACGGCCCTTTGCTTTAGCCGATTGGAACGTCTTTGGAACTCATGCCGAGCGTCATTTACTCTTCTGCTCGAGCGCGTCGAGCGACCTTGGCTGCATAACCAACATGGTAATGGGCCGTACGGCCCAACAATATATATGTATATATATATATATATATATATATATATATATATATAGAAGTATAACGAGAGGTGAGAGAGTTTAGGCCGGAAGTGAGGTGATGCGGTGATACAGAAAGAGACACGGGAGCAAGCCGGCGCTACTGCCGGTGATATGGCAGTCAACGCAACCAAAGACCTGCAGCAGCCGTCCTCCATATCCTTTGGTTCACTCATCTTCCACCTTGGTCGAGAGGATGAGCCATCTCAAGGAAAGCCAGGTGAAATCTGCAAGGGGATCTCAACCACTGCTGAACAGGGACGAAACGAATCAACCTCAGATCTGCGTTTTCTACCACGACGCAAGGTCATCCGTGGAGATAAAGACCAGACTCCAAGCCCTATTGCGATTGCGAAGGCCATACCAGAAGTCCCGACCAGACGAGGCCCCACCACCCTGCGACATCAAAAATTGAATAACGGCGATGGGAGAAAGTATCAGTGTGCATCTAGGCGGCGAAAATTCGTGGACGGCTACAGAGCATACACATCTGGGTTCAGACGGGGTAGGACTACCCAAGGACGGAAGTTTGTATCCCTGCCACTGCGACAATCTCGAGATGATAGCCTCGTTAACGTCACACAATGGAGGCCTTCATACTCTGCAGCTGATAGGCAGTCCGCCATTAGTTGGTTCCCAACTGCTCGACATAGGCAAAAAGCAGACCCTAGGATGATTGCGCGTGATAATTTATCTAACCAGGGGCAGAAGAGACCCACTTTGAAGAAGGAACAATGGGATAAGGAATGGAAAAATTGCAGGTACCACACTGATCATTTACTCCGGACAACAAATGGGATAGAAATCAATATTGAAAGTAAATCTTTTTGTATCTGCGTCGTTGATTGCAATACTTTTAGTATTTCGGAATCAAAATATGGAATTTCTTCTACCATTGAGCTTGATGTTGAAAGAATCACTTGGCTAAGGGACTCCATAATCAAACTCTTATCTGATAGTTGGTCTTGCACCAAATTTGAGATGAAAAAGTCATTTTCTGTTATTCATGATGCAAATTCTTTTGGCGGTTTCTTCTTCTTCTACTACTACTACTACTACTACTACTTCTTCTGTTCTTTCAGACTTCCAGTAGAAGAATGATGTAACACACGTGTAAAGCCACATATTCCTTACTCTAAATGGTAATGACAAATCTTTTTGGGACATCTAAACTTTGATCTATTATTTTAACTAATATATTTATATGAAACTTAATAATTTATACTTTTATGATAATATTTTTAACAAAGAACATTTTCATATAATTTTCATATCATCAATACTACCGTGTATAAATATATAATCTGTCAAAGTTGAACAACTTTGACTTGAAAAATAGTTTTTGGCTAAATACAAAGGGACGGAGGGAGTATTATTTTTCTCATATTATTATTATTATTATTATTATTATTATTATTTTATCGTCAAACCGAAGAAAATATTATTAAATCAATAAATCGTTAGCCAACTGGCTAGAAATACAAATAGGGGCATGATCATAATCAAAAACCTGATCTGAGATGTGAACATGTGACTTAGCTAAAGCGTGAGCCACATGATTCAATTCGTAGACCTTTTACAGAAAGAGATATTAAAAGAACTCTTAGTTGCTAACAAACTACGAATATCATCAATAATAAGATGAGTATATGCTGAGCCTTCTTGTTTCTTTAGGTTTTGTACCACCGTGAGTGCGTCTGTCTCAATTTCCACTCTTGACCAGTCCGCCTCCATAGCTCCCAGGATAGCATCCTGGATCCCCATAACCTCCGTTTCTTCAGCCGTCCATCCTAATCGGCGTCCAACCCCTCGGGCTTTGATAACGTTACCTTCCTCATCTCTGGCCCCCATCCCCAGGCCCGGATGCCCCCCCCCGCTTGATTTACCGCCCATCCACATTGATTTTTATCACCCCTTGCATAGGTTAATGCCACTTGCCTATCTCCTCTCCCACCGATGTGTCTCCCCTGGCCGCCGGTTTGTCTTGGACGTCCCGCCAAGCCCCAAGTATGCTGTCTGCCACCCAAACTACCGTAGCGGCTTCCTCTTCTTTGTCTTTACAAACCGCCTCATTTCTTCTTTTCCAAATGCTCCACAACATTGCAACAAAACGGCCACATTAATCTTTCCCCGGCTGCTCAATATTCATTTTGACCCACTGGACGAATGGGACCGAAAGTCCCTGTGTCCGAACTCCCACATTCTTCCAGACTAGCTCCAATCTGGGGCAAGTTCTTAAGGCATGATCTTCGTCTTTGTCCCCTGCCCCACAAAGTTTGCAACCCTCAACAATGTTTACTCCTTTTCTTTTCAAATTATCCACCGTAGGCAAAGTACCATCAATCACCTGCCATGCAAAATGTTTAATTTTTGGTCGAATATTCAAAACCCATAAACTCTTCCACCCTTGCCACGCACCTTGCTGTAAATCGCCCATCAACAATCTATAGCAGTTTTTAACAGAAAAAATACCATTTTTCTCCCCCGCCCACCAAAAGCCATCTTTTCGGTCCTGCAGACTGATTGGGATGCTCAGGATTTTTTCCCCGTCTTGCGGATTAAAAAGATTGCAGATTCCCTCTAGCTGTCAATTTTTCCCCATGCTATCCCGCAGTGCCGCCACGTTCATATCTCTGAGATATGCCGGTTTTTATGAAGTGATACGTCCGGATTCAGATCCCGGAAGCCAAACATCTTCCCACACCTGGACATTAATACCATTACCAACTTTCCTTCTAGTATTTGTTTTGATGATCTCCTGGGTCTCAAAAATACTTCTCCAAATAAAGGAGGGGTTATTTCCCAATTTAGCTGCAAGAAAAGATGAATTCGGGTAATATCTGGCACGAAGAACTCTACTCATCAGACTACTCGGTTCGATTACTAGTCTCCATCCCTGTTTTGCTAGCATAGCCAGATTAAATTCCCTCAACTTCCTGAAACCCAAACCTCATGAAGCTTTTCGGCCTGCACAAAGATTCCCACTTTCTCCATCGTAATCCTTTCTGATCAAATTTCGACCCTCTCCATGAGAAACCATTCATTAATTTTTCCACCTCATCACATAACTCTTTTGGTAAAAGAAAGACATTCATAGTATAAGTGGCCATAGCCTGAATGACATTTCTCAATAGGATTGCTCGACCTGCTCGAGATAGAAACCAGTTATTCCAGCTCCTAATTTTATTCAGAATACGTTTCTTCAGGTACCCAAAAATGACCGACTTATTCCTCCCAACCAACGCTGGGAGTCCCAAGTAGAGGCCCTGTCCATTGTCCTCCAGAATACCCAGCTGGTTACTGCAAAAATCTTTAAAGTTCTCCCCAACGTTCTGGCTGAATGCTAAAGTAGATATGTTAAAATTAACCATCTGGCCTGACAGCTCTCATACCTTAAAAGGATATTTTTGACTGCCGCACACTCACTATTTGAGGCTTTAAAGAATAAAAAGCTGTCATCTGCGAAAAAGATGCGAAACCCGAAGATATTTTTCTCATATTATTTTTAATTAATATAGTTTAATATGCTCCGTAATACTCCGGTAATTACTTTGGGATATAAAATTTGACAGAAAAGTAACTGTATGTATTTTTTTAGTTTTATTTTATACTCCCTCCGTTCTTTTTTATTAGTCCTTCTTTCTTTTTTGGGACGTTTTTTATTATTTATCCTCATTTCCCTTTAAGGAATTTTTTTGAGAAAATACCTCTATTTTTATTACTTTTACCCCATTTACTTTTTACAAACTACTTTCTTTTCTTACTTTATCATCACTTTACTCTTTTTAATATACCATCTTTCCTACTTTATCATTTACCCTACACATTCTATACTTACCCTACTACTTTATTATTAAAATCCGTGCCAAACCTACTAATAAAAGAGAACAATAGAAACTATATGCATTTTTGCATATTGAAAACTGTGGGATAAAAAATGCATATCAGATTTATTTGGGTTAGCACAGGCTTACAGTGTTTCCGTCAGAAGTGTTTGCCATTTTCGTTTTGAAAAGGGGAGGGAGAGTAGGGTTTGTTCGTGGTAGGGTTTGTTCGTGGTAGGGTTTTGCTGAATTTTATCAATGGCTGACGATTCGGTTGTCACTGGCTCCCCCGAGAAGCTGGACTGCAAGCCGTCGAATGAGACCATTATCGAACTTTCTGGTCCTGGTGGCACAGAGTCTACGGCCAACAACATTTCCGCGACCTCGGCGGAACCTCCGGAAGGCGCGTTCGAGGAAGAATTGAGGAACTCGGACGAACTGATGCGGAAAGGAGATATTGCTTCTGATGCACAAGATTATTCTGAGGCCACTGATTGCTATAGCCGCGCTCTAGAAATCAGGTTAGGGGTTTTGCTTTATTTTTCACCTTCCCGCGGGTTTTATGCTGTTATACCTTCACAATTACATCAGATGTATTTTACACATTGTCTATACTTTTCCACAATTGCTGGTTTCCATTTTGACCATACCGGTGGTTTTAAAGAGTTTTGGCTCATCATTAAACTGGAGATAAACAGAGTTCGGGTGGTTTAACACAAGTTTTTCCATCAGAACTGAGGCGATTGTTTTCTATGAACCTATGAAGTGTGGTTATTCATTTCCTCTTCAGTTATTGCTACTATCATTCTCAATTGAAATCAATTCCATTATGAATAATATTATTATATGGTTTGGATGTAAAACTGAGCTTGATCAAAGTAGACCTCCATGTGCTTATTTATTTTCTCCTGCTCATTCTGTATTGTTTACTTATCTATGTGCCAATGCTTGATTGCTTGATCATTACACAGGGCTGCTCATTTTGGCGAACTTGATCCTCGATGTGTGAATGCATACTATAAATATGGGTGTGCATTATTGCGTAAAGCTCAAGAGGAATCTGACCCTTTGGTCTCTTTGCCTAAAAGGAAGGCAGACTCCCCACAAATTTCCGGTAAAGACGAACCTGCTAAATCTTCTGCTACCTCTGTTGAAAACACAAATGAAGAAGAGGATACTTCAATACAAAACGAAATCAAAGACGATAATGGTTAGTATTTTGACTGTTTTATTAGGTAGTGCTTACTCGTTACTGCTTTATCTCTAAGTGAGGATCACAGCTATGCCTATTGATAACACATGATGATGGGTACACCATTCTTTAAAGTGATTATTTCATTTAGTTTAGTAGTGTTTTGTGAATGATAAATGGTCTTTAATGTACTCTTTTCATAGTGTGGTATTTGTTTTGGTAATTCTAGATTTCTGGTTTTATACTTCACTCGTTATTACAAATTAAACAGCTCGGTGCTCTCTCACTCGTTATTACAAATTAAACAGCTCAGTGGTATTCTCATTATTACATTTTACAAATTAAACAGCTCGGTGCTCTCTCACTGTTCCTTCATAGTGAGTGACTGTGCTATAAAAGAGTGACTATACTACGTAACACAACATGGTAATGTGCCAAATAAAAGATACACTCAATTCTTGTTCTTCTGAAGTTAATAGAAGTAGATACTACTTCATCTCGTTTCTCTCACCCTTACGCCCACACTAACATACACACACACACACACACACACACACATATTTCTTCTGGGTCAAAATGGAGGCATGAAATCATTTGTAGTATAGATTTAACGGTGTACTATTTGTATCATAAAGTGATCTGTGCAAGTGAATGATATACTATATGAGTTTTGAATTTGTTTAACAGAACACTAAAGCTATGAAAAAGGGAAAGAAGAAATAAGAGGATCTATCATCTATGTAGTACCTTTATTTTAATTGTAGAGCTTTGTTTCTTTAATAGCTGCAAAGCTGAAAGTAATTGAAGAAAATGAAGAGGAAGGTGAAAGTGAAGACGAGGACACTGTTGAAGGCGATGAGGACGAGTCAGACTTGGATCTGGCGTGGAAAATGTTGGATCTGGCTAGAGCTATTGTTGAAAAAAGCTCTGAAGACACTATGGAGAAAGTAGAAATTCTGACAGCTTTAGCTGAGGTTGCTCTGGAAAGGGGTATGTAAATATTGTAGTTGATTAGCCTCATCTCACTGCTGTTGAGTACATTAGCAGGATATGGAATTTTTTTAGCATAGTTTCTTCCTTTGTCCCGTGATTCTTGTGTTACACTCTTGCAGAGGATGTTGAAACTTCACATAGTGATTACCTGAAGGCATTATCAATATTGGAGCGTTTGGTGAAACCTGATAGTCGCCGTATTGCTGAACTGTATCCTTTTAATAAAGTGAGAAGGGCTGTAACCAAGAATAGGAACTCTATAAGTCCTTCATCAGTTCATTCAATATTATTTTGATTTTGATGATTTGGTTGGACTATTTATGTGGGTTAAAGTTTGGATGGGAAGGTGATGAAACTATGGAAAATTATTTTTCATGTTTATAACAAATTCATTTTCACTTGAATTTGATAATTTAGTATATACTCCGCATAAGTTAGTAGTTTTTTACTCGTAAGTCAATGTACCACTCTGGTAATTTAAAAATATAAAATATCTCCTACTCTCACTTCTATTCAAATTCTGGTGTTTTGTTGATGGGTCTGCGAAGTAAATTGCTTAACCAAGTAATAGAAATTTCATGATATGCTTGTGTTTAGAAAATGGTTCAAAGCCTCAGGAGGCCATCCCATACTGTGAAAATGCTATCTCAGTTTGCAAGTTACGGTTGGAACGGCTAGCAGAAAAGGTTAAAACGGTATCTGTTCAGACAGAATCATCTCCTGGACATTCTGTTGCAGAGTCAACAAATACATCAGAGTCAACTGATGAAATCGAAAAAGAAACTGAAACACTCGCTGATCTCTGTAGTGAGCTAGAAAAGAAGGTAAGTAGGCAACTAGGACTGTATTGAATTGCCCATTTTATGATTCTATTATTATTAATTTATTTATTTTTAACTTCGATGTCCTATGTTCGTTCATGTTGCCTGACCTTATCGGCAGTTTTTTTTTTCCCGAGGTGTGGGCATTGCAGGTTTTAATTTTACTTTTCGGTCTTTAGTTCATCTCAAAACAGGCCGGGAGCATGATGACTAAATCAAATAAAACTATATATAGATTGGCTAAGATTTTTTGTTGTTAATATGTTTTATTTGGTTTTGTTTTGTTGAGTTTCTGTTCAATTCGGATAAATACAGTATGTTTGCTTACCAAACTAGAACCGAATTGCATATTGTTCGGCTTTGGTTTGAATGGGTTTTGTTTGGGTTGGTCAAAACTGAACCAAAATGTCCACCCCTACTTTTAATCTAACACCAACTTGCTTGATTTCTCTTTATGAAAAAGATGAAAAAGTAATTCACGAGTTACTTTTTTTAAGTTGTTGAAATAACTGATACGTAGTATTAAAAATTAGGGGTGAGCATGGAACGGTACGGGACGGTTATTTCAAAAAACCTGTTCCGTCCCAAAGTACGGTTCTTTTAAAAATCAAGAACCGGTACCGTCCCACACATATATGGAACCTATCCCGTTCCGTACCAATTTTCAGCACGGTTTGGTACGGTTCTTCGGTGTTATTTGGTTCGCAAATAATTAACCCCCATGAAATATAATTAACCCTATTTACATAGCATTGTTTATATCATTTAGTATTGTTTTTGTTTTAAAGTTAACTTCTAGTGCTGTCAAGTCTTAATAATTGGATTACGCCCAAAGAATATGCAAGATTGCATATTTGTAATATATGGACATACGATTCCTGACACTTATACTTGGTAATATGTTATATATAATATACGTAGTATTATTATATTATAACACTAGTTTTCGGGACATATGGTCACTAACATTTATACTCGGTAATATATTATGTATAATATATTATTATAATATAACACTAGTTTTCGGGACAATTCGGGACGGTACGGGACGGTTCGGGACAATACGGTTCCGGGACGGTTCCGGAACGATTCTCACTAAGAACCGGTACCGTACCATATTATTAAAAAAGCTCGGTACGGTACGGTTTTACATTTTTCCGGTTCTATCGATTCTGGAACGGTTCGGGACGGTTCTTCGGTACGGAACGAGAATTCCCAGAATTTCCAGATCCGTGCTCAGCCCTGCTCAGCCCTATTAAAAATGACATTTATGCATTCATGTTTTGTGTGAATAGTTCATTAACCTAAGACTTGATCCTATCCAACCTAGGCATTACACCCTTACAAAAAAGGATTATATGCTCGTAAGGATTGTTTGTGGTAATAATTGATTAATCTGTATTTTCATCATTTTGTAGCTTGAAGAACTTAAACAGCTAGCCACTAATCCAACATCTATCACCCAAGACATCCTTGGAATTTTTTCTGCAAAGGTAAGAGATGCTGCTAATAAAATCTCTACCTCAGTAGCAATGGGTGCTTCCCAAGTGGGTACTATAAACAGTGGTGGAGGTACAGAGTCCCCAACTGTTTCCACTGCTCATACCGTGAATGGTTCATCTGGAGGTGTCACTGATCTTGGGGTTGTGGGAAGAGGGGTTAAGCGAGTAAATCTAGAGCCTGTTGCATCAGACTCTAAGCCTGAGAAAAGGCCTGCTCTGTAGACCCTCCCAAGTTGAAAAGAAGTCATTCGGCTAATCAAAGGCTTCCCCGTCTTTTGCTAATGGGACACGGGTGAGATCACATATATCATACACTCTACCTTGTCTAACTCCTATGTAGTAACTAGTTCATTCCTGAATTGTGGTGTTACTTTGTGTGTGGGACTGTGGGTACTACAATCGGCTGTATGTCAGTGAATTTGTAATTCTGTGTGCACTTAACTGTCACCATGAATTTGTAATTCTTTCATATATTTTGTACTCACTTTCTAGCCTCTTATGGCCTACTTCCTGTAATCTCAATATAGTTTTAAGTTTGGGTATGCTAAGTTGCTAACTAAGCATGGCCTACTTCTTGTAATCTCAATATAGTTTTAAGTTTGGTCCTGAAACTAAAAATGGGAGGTCCCGGTCTCGGTGATAAAACTGGGCAGTCCCAGCCTGATCCCAGGATCCATTGTAGGATTGCCCAAATTAGTCATGGACCCGGGCCGGTTCCGGTTCCGGGCCGGGCCCGGCCGGGCTTTTTTTTGGGAAGGAAGGCCCGGGACTGGCCCGGGTAGCCACCGGGTCCGAGCCGGGCCGGGCCTCCGGTTCGGTCATAATTTTTTTTTTTTGCTTTCCTAACCCCCCCACCCCCCCAAACCCCTCCTAACCATCAAGCCCAACCCGGCTAACCCCAAAAAATGAAAAAAAAAAATCAATTCGGCCCGGCCCCGACCTGGCCGGTTCGCCAAATACAAGGCCCGAGCCCGGACCCGCCCCCCCACCGGGCCTAGGCCCGACCCGGACCCGGACCCGGACCTGGACCCGGACCCGAGAACCGGGCCGGTCCCGGGCCCGCACAGTGGCGGGCCGGTCCGGTCCTGGGCGGCCCGAACCGGGTCCATGCCTAGCCCAAATCAAGTTGTTCAAAGTCCATAGCCTCAATACGTATGGATTTCGGCAACTTTGATGAGATATGATTTTATACAGGGATGGACTCAGAAGTCGGCCTGACTTGGGACCCAGTAATGTGCATGCCCAACCCAACCTGGCTGTTTATGTGGCGAGCTACGGGCCCTGATTTTTGTGGACCGGCCGGTCCAGGACAATTTTTTTAATTGTTGGCATTGGGCTGCTGCTAGGTGGCCAGGTGGGTTGGGCTGCGTGTTTTGGCGGGGTTTGGGGGTGGGTAGTAGGGTTGTAAACGAATCGAATCGAACTGAATACTTGATAATATTATTCGTATTCGTATAGTTATCGAATATTCGTATTCGTATTCGTTTAAAATTCGAATCTTATTTTTTATTCGTATTCGATTCGTTTGATATATTCGAATCTTTTTCAAATCGAATTCGAATATTCGAATTCAAAAACATTAAAGTTAATTTGTTAAAATAATTAAACTTATGATGTTAGTTTGCCCCTTTTAACTCATTTTCATATTACATATTTTATAGGAAAAAAAATTCATTTATAGAAGTCATTTCAAATTTAATATCAATATAGATAAATCAATGGGAAATTTTAATTGTAAATTAAGCTATTTTGACCTGGTAAAGTAAGAATGTTTAAATTAAAATATGCAAAATATTTACATGAATATTTTGTTATTAATATTTTTACATTGAACTATATCAAAAAACTATAAGCCCCAATGAAGGTAAGGATATTTTAGGTATTGAAAATTTGTTGGTGTAACATCATAGCTTAGTGAACATGTACCATAAGCTTGACTCAGTGCACTCTCTCTTCAGTTTTGCTCTGTCAAATAACGTCCATCCACGGTACCCGTTAGTAAAAGCGCAAAACCTCTAACAGTCTCACTCAAACCTCAATGTCTCAATCCACTCTAGCTTCTCCTTTTCTGTTCCACGGCGTGCCACTTAATTGACCATAATATTAGATTAGCTGTTGAGAATCCGCTTCGTCTGCGAGAAGATTATCGCCAACTCTTCTCACCTCCCTTGTTCCCTTTCATCTTCTTTGTATCGTGTAAGTTGCGGTACTCGTTTTTTTAATGATAATGACGCTTGCATTGATAACGAGTTGCAACCTTCAGTTCTTTTTCATCTCATGTGTAACGCAATTTGTGGCAATTGAAGAGGCTCGACCATCAATCGCCCATCTATTTCCGTACAAACATGTGTTCATCTCGTGGCAGAGGTTCTCTTTTGCTGCTCAGTACCCGTTTCTTGGTAACACTTTTATCTCATACCATCTGTTTTTTTACCGTGTTTTTCTAAAGGAAAATAATTTTGTTTCCTGCTTTTATTCTTTCGTTTTTACAAAGAAAATATTATTCAAAGTATGTGCTAATATTAAGTGTTGTATGCTCGGAGTTAATGGAAAAAGGTATGTGTTGACATTCGATATCTTCATGAACATTATAAAAAAATCTTGCTCAATTAGTTCTAACAAGTATTTTTTTGAAAACAAAATCTAAGAAACAACATATATTGAACTAGGATCAAAACGAATGGACTTTGGTGATCCTTTTTAACTCAAGTAAGGGCTTGTTTGCAATCAATTAAAAAAAGTGATTTTGGCTTTTTTTAAAAGAAAAAAGCACTTATTTTACCAAACACTATCAACTTTTACTTCCTCGGTTTTCGTGTAGAATCTACTTTTTACTTTTTCTATTACACAAAAAGCACTTATTTTACCAAACGCTACCAACTTTTACTACTAATCACTTTTTCCCAAAAAGTACTTTTATTTAAGCACAAGTGGTTGCAAACAGAGCCTAAAAGACACAGAGTTGATAAAATTAGAGGATCACCCTATAATGTCCTAAAGTGGTTAATTAGAGGACCTCTTAATAAAATATCCTCTAGTGATCCTCAACTTTGAAAATTAGTTGTGAGGTAAAACTATATGGTAAAATTAGATATACCCTTAAGGAGGTTAAATTTACCTCTTGAGGAAGTAGATAAATGAATCTGCCTTCTTACAATATTATCTCTTGATGACGTAGATAATTATACTTCAAGTGATCCCCAACTTTGAGAGATCGACATTTGGTATAGTTATAAGGTAAAATTACATGTCCCCTTGAGGAGTCAACTTGAGCACGGTAAATTTATCACATGTGGACGGGAAAGTGGAAACCATTTAACTTATGGTTTTATCCCTATTAGGCTCTTATGAGCCACTTATGTCATGTTTTTCTTGCAACCACTTATGTCATGAGATACAAATCTTTTAAGTTTCATACAAGCCTCTAGCATTTGCATCATTTGTAGAAACATCAAATGCATTTTTGTAATCCACGTGCATATATTTAGTCTTTATAATAGCTTCAAAATGATACCACATACATCTTGCTCTAGGCCTGTAACTCTCTGTTTAAACTTCTAATTGTCACATATGGGCCTTGCCTGAATCTCACTACCAGCCCATTACGAGCTTGTCCAATGGTTCGAACAGATTTCAAATAGAACAAGTCTAAACCTACCAATGGAAATGACATTGAAGCTAAAAATAGAATTAAATGCAAATACTGTATGCGATTTTTAAAAAAGACTAAAAAGGGTGAATTGAGTTGATAAGGAAACTCAAGAGTTATTAGATACTCTTACTTTTAGATACTCCTACTGTTGGTCTCACATTTTTAATGATATTATTAATTTATTATTTTAGATATTTTTGTTTTATTTGAAGTTGTTTGCTTACAACCGTGATTACTTAATCACTTGTTGTTGCTTTATAACCGCTAATGAAAGGTATGATACAGTTGAAGAAACGGCCGATATATAATTTAGGTTGTTGGGTATATAAGATTTGATAAATATATAAGTTTCTATGTATTATGCCCAACAGCAAGAACTCTAATGTCAGAAGATGTATATAGTTTGTGGGGTGCCGGGGTCGTTGCTTTCTCTGTTCAAGAAGCCTTAGCCTACAAGTTATCCAAGTATCCAACTTATCTTGTGAATATCAAGCATTTTGAGTATTGATTTCTCTTGTTTTTATGGTTATTATTGTATCATATCCTTAATCCCTTAGCTAATTAGGCTATCTTTTGTCTTTGGCATTCTTGATGATTGGGAGTGCTTCCTTCCCTATCTCGATGTAAAAAGGAAAATACCAGTAGCATGTGTGCCATAATTCCAATGAATTATCAAGTAGTGAGTGTACACTTTAATTGTTTCAGAGTTTTCTTACAATATGTACTCTAAAAAACAATTATTACATGATACTCTAGGTCTCGTGATGATATCTTCTTCTGCTCTACTTTGTTCTCCATTTACATACTTCTTTTTTAGTTTTTTACTATTATGGTTACTAAATGTTGATCGTTTGCCTCTGAATAACATGCGTGTTTTTTTGTTTGAAAAAAAAACATGCGTGTTTTTTTGTTTGAAAAATGGTTAGTAGGAGAGTGGTCGGCTAAATTAACATAAGGCTAGCTATTTTCATCCCATATTTCGACTGTATGAACTGCTTAAATTACCATTTATTTAAATGGAATGAATTTCAATACTTCGAATAAGTAGTTTTACTCTCTGATTCTTACCCTTTCTTTTTTATAAATATAGCCTCAAGCTGTGTGTAATTTCTCTGGTTTCCCACACTTGGTTTTTGGATAAATACAACTTAAGAAGGTATGTTATTTTATCTCATTTTTTGCTTTTAGTTTTGACCTTTTTTCCCAGGTCATAACCTTTCACATGGAAGGTAACAAGTTATGTGTCAACAGGGACGGATCTAGGATTCTGAGTCAAGGGGGGCGAAATTTTTCGTTAGTGTAGGGGATGAATTATTTTTGTTAGTGTAGCGGGGTGAAATTTTTCCCCTAGTATAGCGGGGCGAATTTTTTTCGTTATTGTAGGGCTATGCGGCTTTTTTTTATTCAAAAAATGACATTAATACATGCACATCTCAAACGGCATTTAAATCTATTACATTCTAAGTTTAGACGATGACAAAAACATCAACCAATACATTTTTAATAAGTTCTACATTGTTTAACCTCATGAATCGGTTATTGAATTGTAATTTTTGTCCACCAAGGAGGGTGTTCGTGAGTCATGACTCATGAAAAGTTTTCTTAGTACTACAATTGTAGTATACTAATATGTATGAGATTGTTATTTTTAGAATAATATGCACCACATACACACACACATATGGTGCATATTATATTTTAAAAATTTTATTAATTCTATAATAATTTAAAGTTTATTATCCATGCAATAAATTATTTTTAGAAAGCAAGAAGTAAATGAATTGTGTAATCTAATGTCTACAAATATTTATATTTTGGATTCATTTCACGTGATCTAAAAATTGTGTAATTAGTGTGTCTGGTATTTAATATTGTTTGATATATGTTTTATAAAATCCAGTACTTGTTATCTAATAAAGATAATTAAACATT